TCGAATTTTGTTTTCAGCGTTGGTTAGCGTCGTCGTACGTAGACCGGAACCGTGCCTCGAGTTGGATGGTGACTGCCCAGCGTGTCCTGTTTGCTAAGAACCCGCACGTTGTACAGGCTGGCAAGAGTGTGGCACCGCCATCGGCACACGCAGGCGACGATGCACGTGCTGGTGGCTCCAACGATGAAGTCCCGGATGCCTCATCGAATGGACAGGTTGCTCACGGAGAAGATGGGCAGAGCACAGTAGGGCCAGCATTGACGTACAGCAGGACTACCACAATTCACATAGACCCGGAGACCGGGGAAGCAAGGAACGCAAGCACAGGGGAGACGATGGAAACGCCCCTTCGGTCACCTCGGCCAGTGCCAAGCACTCCTCCACCAGTGCCGATTTCGGAGTTCCAACATCTGGCGACTGAATCTGATCTCAAGGTATGCGGTTAACAACAACGCTCGTTAGGAGAAATTGTAGAAAGCCAGCATGGCATCATGTTACTTACCGTAGGCGCATTGATCCTAGGTGTTCTTCGTGTTCTCCAGCAGTCGGCAATGTACTTGTGATTCTTTCAGTGCTGTTATTTGGTTGCGCCGCTCTCGGTGGGTGGTTTGCCTCATTCGTCGTTGGTAGTATCGTGATGCTAAGCAGGTCCTGGACTTGTTGAGGTGGTTGAGCTGCTGTGGGAGTAAATGTGGGGTGCATGCGCTCTGTGCACGTGATATTGGGTGGGGTCGCGCTGCAGATGTCCTCCAGTAGTTTACGCAGCTGAGCTATTGCGGCGGTACAGTGTACGTCGTGGTTTTATAGTGCGAAGAGCTGAGGGAACGTGGTTGGGTGTGGATTTGCAGGGCATTGAAGCTGCATTGGACAAAGCCGTGACACCCGAGGGAGCGATCAAGAACCATGAGTACGTGGTCTTGGGTGACCTTGTGAAGGGCCAAAGTGATGGTGGTGCTGTAGACATGTGTGATGGGTAGGGAATGTTTTCTGAACCGGTGGCATCATCCTGTTGATGTGGTGTGCATGTATGGGACGCAAACAGTGGAGGGGACTTGGACCTTTTGAGCTTGGGCCAGAAAGACGCTCTTCTTGTCCTCCGCACTATCTGCAAAGTAAGGCACAATTGTTCATTCCTGCTTGTGCCGTGTCTATCTTTCCATGCTATGATGGAGGTGCAGCGTGGTGATGTCGTTGATGAGCTGAGCGTGCAAGATGATGCGTGTGCAGATGGCTATGAAGGATGGGAGTGACGATTTTCTGAGTAGAACCAAGCTACTTTCTCTGGAGTTGCTCCAGGTGAGCTGTCGCGTACAATTTGAGTGTGTGTGTGTGTGATTGATAGGAAGGCAAGTGTGCGGTGCGGAAGCTTCGCCTGATGTGGAATGTAGGTTGAGGATGCATGCAGGCTGGTATAGATGATAGACGGGCGGAACTGATGAATCCAGCGGTTGCCTGCGATGCGTTGTCGGGAAATGATCTAAGAAGGTTCAACTTGGGGACGATGTTGGGATTCTCGTGCTTGGGGGATTTGTAGTGTGCAGCCGGTGATAGGTTATGGATTTTGGTAGCATTGTTGTGTGATGGATCCTGGACTGTTGTGCAGGGATGCCTGGAAAGTGTGAACCATGCTTTCACGACGAACTTCCCTTTCATTGAGCTCGTGAAAGCGTACCTATGCTATGCATTGTTGAGGTCGTGCGTTTCGCCAACCGCAGCAGTTTTCCAGGTGGGTGCTTGATATTTGTGTCGTCCTTGGGTTGGCGATGCAAGCGAAGCTGTTGCCCTGGAGCGGGTGGCCTAGGTGACGAGCAGACTGCGTTGGTAGAGTGCTGATTTTGTGAATGGAGCTGCTCTGTCTGACTGCTGGTTTTTCAGCAGTATGCAGACTTGAGCATGAGTTGGGGTGGAAACATGAACGTGAGAGGAGGCATAAGCCAGGCTGCATGGCGTATACTGCCGGGATCTTGTAGTGTGATTTATTGTGGACAGTTATCCCTGTACGTTACTGATGGACGTGTGTGGCATTGAGGCTCGGGAGTTGCTGATTTTGTGTGCTCTTGTACTGGCAGCTTGCAGTGAACATCTTTCTGATAATGATGCAGCGCTACAGGGAAAGCCTGAAGGTGAAGTTGTGGTAGATGGGGGTTCTGTTGTTCGCTCGTGAGTTGGAACGGGGGTCTCCGAGTGTGTTGAGATAGCAGAGCAGGTTTAGTGTGGAAGTGGATCTGAGTGTTGAGTGTTGAGTGGACGATTAAGACGAATGCGTGAGCTGTGTGCAAGGTGAACCTGGTCCAGTTTGGATCTGTACTCGGCTTGAGCAGCCTGTTTGAAAGAGTCGACGTACGGCGTGTCCGACATGGAGTGAATTTGCTGACAAACTGGGGTTGTTGGTGCAGGCGGAGTTGGGAATATTTTTCAACTTGATTGTTTTGCGGTCGTTGGAGATCGAGTGTTCGATTCATCAGAAGACGGCAGTGCTGAAGTAAGATTGGGTCCCCCGAATGAGGCTGGTTGGAGCAACCACATTG